TATATTTTTAATGTAATAAATTCTTTTCCTTTGGGTATATACCCTGTATTGTAATTGTTGTCAGATGGTAGTTCTATCTTCAGTTTTTGAGAAATCTCCATACTGGTTGGAGAAACCTCCATAGAGGTTGTGCTAATTTACATTCCCACCAACATTGTGTAAGTGTTACCTTTTCTCTGCATGCTTGACAACATCTGTTGTTTTTTGGCTTTTTACTACTGGCCACTCTGACTGGTGTGACATGGTATCTCATTGTGGTTTTCATTTGCATTTCTCTGATGCTAAACATTTTTTATATACTTGTTGGCTATTTGTACGTCTTCTTGTAAAAAAATATCTGTCATGTTTTTGCCCACTTTCTGTGCTACTTGGTTTTTACGTTGTTGCTGGTGCATCATTTGAGTTCCATGTATATCCTGCGTATTAGTCCCTTGTCAGATACATCATTCACAAATATTTTCTCCCATTCTTAGGGTTGTCTGTTTGCTTTGTTGATTATTTCTTTGGCTCTGCAGAAGCTTTTCACCACAATTAAGTCCTATTTGTCTATTTTTTGTTTCATTGCATTTGCTTTTGGAGTCTTAGTTATAAATTCTTTGCTTAGGTCAATGTCCAGAAAAGTTTTCTTAGGTTTTCTGCCAGAATTTTTATAACTTCAGGTCTTAAATTTAAGTATGTAATGTAACTGGAGTAAATTTTTATATATGGTTAGAGACAGTGATCTAATTTTATTGTTTATGGCCATCCAGCTTTCCCAGCACCATTTATGAAGAAGGTATCCTTTCTGCAAGGTATGTTCTTGTCATCTTTGTCAAAGATCATTTGGCTGGAGGTATGTGTCTTTATGTCTGGGCCTTCTCTTCTTTTTCACTAATCTATGTGTCTATTTTTATATCAGTATCATGCTGTTTTCTTTACTATCGCCTTGTAGTATAATTTGAAGCCAAGTAATGTGATGCCTGCAACTTTGTTCTTTATTTTAGGATTTCTTTGTCTATATGAGCTTTTTTTGGTTCCATAAGAATATTAGGATTTTCTTTTCTAATTCTGTGAAAAAAAAGATGTTGATACTTTGATTGGAATTGCATTAAATCTGTAGATTGCTTTGTGCAGTGCATTCATTTTAACAATATTAATTCTTCTAATCCGTGAACATAGAATTATTTTTCTATTTGTTTGTGTCATCTATAATTTATTTCATCGGTGCTTTGTAGTTTTCTTGTAAAGATCTATCATCTCCTTGGTTTAATATACTCCTAGGTACTTTTTAAGCTTTTGTAAATGGAATTGACTTTGGAATTTTGTTCTCAGCTTGAATGTTATTGGTGTATAGAAATGCTTTGAATCTTTATTACCTTTTTTTTAAAAAAGTTTTTATTTTATATACAGAGTGCACATTGTTACCTGGGTATATTGGACCCAGGTAGTGAGCATAGTACTCAATAGGTAGTTTTTCAACTATTGTTCCCATGTTCATGAGCATATGTGCTGTGTTTAGCTCTCACATGTGAGAAATGTATTATTAGGTTTTCTGTTCCTAGATTAATTTGCTTAGAATAATGGCTTCCAGCTCCATTCACATTGCTACAAAATACTTGATTTCATTTTTATTATGGTTTCTTAGTATTCCGTGGTTTATATGTAACATATTTTCTTTAGCCACTGCACCAATGATGGGCTCCTGGTTGATTCTGTCTTCATTATGGTGAACAAAACAGTGATGAAAATATGAGTGTTTGTGTATTTTTGGTATAATGAGCTATATTTCTTGGTGTGTATATATATATATATATATATATCCAGTAATAGGACCACGAGGTTAAATGGTAACTCTGTTTAAAGAAAGCTGTCTCTCTTTGCAGATGATATGATTCTATACCTAAAGACTCTACCAAAAGGCTACCAGAACTGATAAGACATTTTATCAGGGTTCCAGGATATAAAATCAATGCTACAAAAATCAGTAATATTTCTATATACAAATAATGTTCAAGCTGAGAATCAAATCAACAACACATCCCAACTATAATTACCACAAAGAAAATGAAATACTTAGGAATACAGTTAACCAAGGAGGAGAAAAATGTCTACAGTAATAATTCCAAAGCAACATGGAAGAAAATCAGAAGCAAAACAAATACATGAAAAAACATCCTATGCTCTCATGCTAATGGATTGAAAAAATCAGTATCATCAAAATGACCTACCTCTCAAAGCAATTTATAGATTCAACATTATTCCTATCGAACTACAAATGTCATTTCTCATAGAATTAGAAAAGAAAACTGTTCTAAAATTCATATGAAATCAAAGAAGAACCCAAATAGATAAAGCAATCCTAAGCAACAAGAACAAAGTTGGAGGCATCACACTACTTGATCTCAAATTATACTATGAGGCTAAGGTAACCAAAACAGCATGATACTGGTATAAAAACAGACACATAGGCCAATGGAACAAAATAGAAAACTCAGAAACAAAGCTTTCATGTACAACCATCTGATTTTTGACAAAGCCAATGAAAATAAGCAGTGGGGAAAGAACTCCTTATTCAATAAATGGTGTCAGATACCTGGTTTTTCATAAGCAGAAAGAATAAAACTAGATCCTTACCTTTTACTATATATAAAAATTAACTCAAGATGAATTAAAGATTCAAATGAAAGACCTCAAACCATAAAAGTCCTAGACAAAAAGCTAGAAAATACTCTTCTCAACATTGGCCTTGGCAAAGAATTTTTGGCTAAGTCCCAAAAAGCTATTGAGACAAAAACAAAAATTGACAAGTGCGACTGAATTAAACTGAAAAGTTTCTGCACAGCAAAGGAAACTATCAACAGAGCAAACAGAAAACCTACAGAAAGCAAGAAAATATTTGAAAACTAAGCGTCCAATAAGTGCCTAATATCCAGAATCCATAGGGAATTTAAACTATCAATAAGCAACAAATACCCACATTAAAAAATGGGCAAAGGACATAGGCACTTTTCAAAAGAGGGCATAAAAGCAACCAACAAATATATGAAAAATACTCAACTTTACTAATTATCAGAGAAAACAAATCAAAACCACAATATGATACCATCTCACATCAGTCAAAATGGCTATTATTCAAAAATCAAAAACCTGGTGAGGCTTCAGAGAAAAGGGAATGCTTATACACTGTTGGTGGGAATTTAAATTAGTTCAGCCACTGTGGAAAGATTTCCCAAGGAACTCCTGATTTTTGTACATTAATTTTCTATCCTGAAACCTTACTGAATTTATTTACCAAATCTAGGAGTATTTGGAAGAGTTGTTAAAATTTTCTAAACATAAGATTATATCATTAACAAACAGACAATTTGACTTCTTCTTTTCCAATTTGGATGCCTTTATTTCTTTCTCTTTCTTGTTTTCTCTGGGTACGGAGTCCAGTAGTATGTTGAAAGAAGCAATAAAAGTGGGCATCTTGTCTTGTTCTGGTTGGTGGGGAGAATGTTTTCAACTTTTACGTATTAAATATGATGTCAGCTGTGGGTTTGTTAATATGGATCTTACTATTTTGAGGAAGGTTCCTGCAATGTCAAATAGGTTTTGAAATATGTTTAAAGTTTTGATCTTGAAGGAACACTGAATTTTATGTAATATTCTATGCATCAATTGAGATGATCATACTTTTTTGTTTTTAATTCTGCTTATGTGTTGAATCACACTTATTAATTTGTGTATCTTGAGCCATCCTTGCATCCCTGGAATAAAATCTAGAAAAAGTTTTGCTTATCACTATTTAGAAAGTACTGGTCCAGTCAATATGTTCAAACTGATATGTCAAATAAGTCAATCCATGCTGATCAATTAAATTGACTTCTACCATTTTCTTTCTATGAATATATAAACACAAACACACACACAAATTTTTTACATGATTAAAACTATTTATCCAGAGACAGGAAGACAAACCAAACCCCGGAAATACAGAAACAAACAAACAAACAAAAATGAACATACCTTGTGTTTATCTGTGAGATTTCTCTGAATGTGATTGTAAAAGAATATGTGTCTACCAATTCACTCTTGTAATCCTCTTAAATTTCATCCAGAATATCTCACTTTCTCTCTACCCATATTCCTTCTCTCCTCCCTAGTTCCTGCTACTCACTCAGTCCTGAGTGTTTTATGTTTCAAAATTTTTCTGGCCCTACCTTGTCTACTGAGACATCTTTAGAATACATTCAACTATTTGCCATGGTCTGAGAATCTTCTCCAAGAAAGAAACCATCAAGTACTTCCACAGCCTTCCCGTCTAAATTCTACCAGTAAACACCTGCCCAGATGCAGTGCTGTGGCTCTGAGGAGGAAAGATTTATATGACAAGTAGAACCTCAGCTGAAGCCAAGAGAGGGAGATACTCCATGTCATCACTCCCTGGAATCCCCCATTAAAAAATGGTAGAATCTGATCCTAAGCCCTTGATTTCCACATAGCACATTCTGCTCCTATCTGATCAACCAGTGACTGACCTCAGGGCTGCTTTCTATAGGAGATTATTGAATCACAGCTAAATTTAAGTGTATTTGCTTTGTAGTCTCAACATGCCATTTGCTGTGGTCTACTGCCTAACCCTGTATCTTAACTGTGTAAATGGCAGACAGAGCAGCAATAAAAAAATTTATATTTGAAGTGTTCTTCTTGTAATCATCTTCCTCCAAATTTTTTAGGGATTATGAATTTTATTATGAATAAAAATGCTAATAACCACAAAATTTCTAAATTCCCTGAAGAAACAACATATGTCTCAACAGTACTTTAGGAACAACTTATTATTATTTCTTTTTTCCCAATGTATATAAGTACTTAGAGACAATACACTGTGTCTTCGAATGTTTGTACTGCTCATAAATCTACACATGAAACATGGTTGAAGTATGTATATGCACACACATGTATATTCATATGTGTATAATTATATTGTGTAAATATTATTTAAATAAGTGAGCAAATAAATGAATAAAATATTTATGAATGTATATGTCATGCCTATGCTACATTATTTCCTTTTTCCTTCACTTTAATATCTAATTTGATGACTATGCTTGCATCTCTATGTGCATGAAGGAAATAATAGTAACTATTAAATAAGATTATGGTGAGCACAATATGAGTATATTCATGCATAATATACCTATCAATATCTATATATCTATATACTGCATTTATGGTAAGTTAACATTATTATGCAGTACATTATTATTATTAAGAATTCTAGAAGCTACTTACACTGTTTATTATCCTTTTAAAGTGAGAATTTTATTCTGTATTCTGTTATTTCTTAAACATGCTAAAGAAAACTATAAGGCGATCTATTTGGCTTATATTACTACTTCCTATTAAAAATGGAGTTTGAATAAATCACTTATCTTTTCCAAACATTAGTATATTAAACATGAGAGTAAAAAATCTAATATATACTTTATAAATCTGCCTTGAGGATCCAGCAATAGAAATAAAAGAACTTGGAAAAGGGGAGTTCAATTGGTTTAAAATTCTTATTATTATCATTAAAGTCAAAAGCTTCAGTTAACAGATAAACAATGTTATTGGCTACAACATTCCCTTCTGTTTTTCTGCTTTCTACTAGGTTGGAGTGACAGACTCTCCAACCTCCAACTGGTTAGTGAACAGTCTTGAGGAAAATCAGAACTCTCTCCCGAATCTGCTTAGTCCTGACTCCATAGATTACAGGATTGAGGGCTGGGGGAACAACCACATATAGATTAGCCAAGAAAATGTGGATATATTGTGGGATGTTATGGCCAAAACGATGTGTCAAGAATGAAAAAAATGCTGGTGTGAAAAAGGCTAAGATAACACCAACGTGAGAGACACAGGTGTTGAGAGCTTTGCATCGAGCTTCCCAGGAGGGAAGGCAGAAGACTGCATAGAGGATCCTGACATAGGAGAGAATAATAAGGATCACATCTAATAACAAGAGAGAAATGTTGCCAAGGCCAAACATAATATTGACTTTGATGCTGGCACAGGCCAGATGAGCAATGCCCATGTGCTCACAATAAGTATGAGGGATGATACGGTGTCCACAGAAGGGCAGCCTCAGAAGAAGAAACACCAGTGGAACAATCATGCACAGGCTCCTCAGGACAGCGATGCCTGCAATGAGGCTGATGATTTTGCTGGTGAGGATCATGGTGTACCGAAGAGGATTGCAAATAGCAATGTAGCGGTCAAATGCCATGGCCACCAACACAATGCTCTCCATGGCAGTGAAGAAATGGATGAAGAACATCTGAGAAAGGCAACCTCCAAAAGACATTTCCTTTATATTGAACCAGAATATGTCTAGCATTCTGGGGATGGTGGCTGTAGACAAGCCCAGGTCAACGGAATCCAACATGGCCAGGAAATAGTACATAGGCTCATGGAGACTCGGTTCAGTCTGGATCACAAACAAGACAGCAGCATTTCCCAGGAGTGCAACAAGATACACGAAGAAAAAAGGGATTCCAATCCAGATGTGCACATCTTCTAGCCCTGGGATTCCCAGCAGTAGGAATGAAGAAGGATGAAACTGGGTGTCATTAGACATAGACATTCTTCTTGTCATATAAAGCTGCTGGGCACACCAGTGATGGTTATAATATTCCTACTAGTA